TCGGTCGGCGCCGGACCGCGAATTTAACCACCCGTAACTCCCGAACCCGGAGGCTATCGACGCAGCGGTGGTCTCATTCGAAAGAGGGCTTCGAGACGTACACTCGATTCGCGTTCGAGAGGGATCCTCGAGCTGAAGAGATCCCCCGAATTTGGTGCGGATTCGCCGCACTGTTACGGAGATATGGCCGTTTAAAGTTGGTTAATAAATAACAATTTGGTCCCTCGATATCTCTTTGCCACCGTGAAATCTTCTCAGTCTCTCCAAGTGTATAAATACGGCCGGGAAGTAAGAAAACACACATTCAAATGGTATTCTCAAATACTTCAATTTATTCACAGAAATACAGATCTTATATAGGCATGTCGAGGGGAGTTTTCACCCTCTTAACCAATGAGGATAGGGGGACATACCCATACAGGATGTTTTTCCCAAGAACATGTGTTTTGTATAAAATTGCCACATATACAGAAAAACATATCCATATAAGGAATAGACTTCCTGGCGACGGAGGCTGAACCCCCCTTATAAATCAGCACAAACTCCTTTACCTTGAATATTGAGTAAGAGACATTCAAACACCATACAAGAGAGAGAGAGAACAGATAGAGGAGGGGTGATTCAGAGAAGGAGAGAGAAAGAGTGAGAAAGGAGGGGTAAGGCATTCTCAAAACACAAAGTTTCAATGGTTTTCCATTGACTTAAGCTTTAAAGCGTTTCATCCAGGTCGCCAGTAGCAAACGGTGGAGAAACTGCTGGACAAACTAAATAATTACACCATTTCAAGCATTTTATCTGCATTATATGCTCTGTAAAAAAAATTTCATATCGGCGGCATATTCGCCGATACCGATATATTGGTGACAGGCTCATATCGGCTGATAATATCGGCAAAACGATATATCGGTCAGGCTCTAGTTAGTTCGCCCAAAAATGAAAATTAGCCCATAAATTACTCACCCTCAAGTCATCCTAGGTGTTTCAGACGAATCCAGTCGGAATTACATTCAAAATTGTCTTTGATATTTCAAGCTGTTTAATGCCACTCAGCGGGTGTTGCATGCATCAGTCCAAAAGAAGTTAAATAAAAAGCGTCCATCCATAAAAAATTTGTCTCACACGGCTCCGGGGGGTGAACAAAGGCCTTCTGTAGCGAATCGATGCATTTTTGTAAGAAAAATATCCATATTCAATACGTAATAATCACTTTAATGTAGCTTGTGCCAACAGTCCTACACAGAAGCAGCTCTGGGCGGATGACGTATGAGTTCAGCCTTGCGCATGCGCCGCTCAGAAGTGACGAATGCGGAAACGCAGGGGAGAGATCAAAACAAAACAACGGTCACTTATTAGAAGTACAAAACGAGGATTTGTAAAGAAGAATGTCAGAGGATTTCGATATAAGCCAAGAGGAGCCTGGTTTTCCTTTGCTAAAGTAAGGAAACTTTGCTTCCTTTGCTCCTGTTAACAAACGTTGGTTTTCACGAGATTCACCGGCGTATGCGCAACACTGAACTCATACGTCATCCTCTTGGAGCTGCTTCCGTGTAGGACTGTTGGCAATATACACCATAATTTTTGCTCATACAGATAAGAGTAATACATTATTAGAAACTGTCAAGGGTCTACTTGTATTTGTATACACTCACAAAATCAGCAAGATGTTGTGTTTTAGTAAAATTAAGAAAACAAACAGGACGCGCTCTCTTCCATCCCTGTCTCTGTGCACTGGAAAGGTATTTGGCATTTTATTTTAAAATACATTTTGATGTATCTTTGCCCAATCCTGGAGATGGCGAGTCAGCATCCACTTCATCTTTGCAGCTGACACACTAACTGTGAAAACACTAGTTTATTAATAAACAGTTAAAATATCTCCTTGCTATTTTTCCCCAACACATAGTTTTCTTCTGCCGGTGTTTTGTGGCAAGCTTAATATATAGCTTTATAGGCTATATATTAAAGCCTCATTATGGTTTAGTTCTCCACCCCCCAGTATATATCTAATTCAATTAATAAAAATGTGAGATTAGTTGACTAATCGCACATTTAGTTGACTACTAGTCGACTAGAAAAATCTTAAGTCGGGGGAAGCCCTAATTACTATCAATTGAAACCAGGCGGTTAATGAAAGTAGCCTAGGAAATATATGAAAAACAAGGTGTTTGAGTGTACTTTCCAGCAATCATGGTAATGGTAATTGTAACCAGGTGAAGATATTAGCAACCCCTTCAATTGAGCCTAATGATATTTTGAACTAGAATATCATCTTTTCAGTTCAAAGAGACTGGAATTATTCAGTTTTTACGTATGTTTTCTGTGATCTACGTAATTCCTTTGGTGAATTGGGCACCGTGAAGTCAGCACAGTTATCGCATACATAACAGACACACTTTTAGTGACCGCAGTTAATTTTTAGTAAATTTGCTCTTCAATATTCTTAACCATGAACTAAAAGAGTGCAAATATAACTTTTTTAGTGCAATGCATGCTAATATTCTGAAGTTAAATTCCTAATGTTAATCAAAATGATGACTGGACATGAAATGGGATTTGAGTGTGGAGGCCCTGACAATCTTACATTACCCCAAAGAGTCTTTTGTTATATTGAGACCTCAGTATTAAACTTGAATTTGAAACAAGACAGGATGTAAACCAGACTTTGACAAGACCTTCCTGTTATGCACAAAAAAATTTTGGTGATATCTTCTCAACTACATCATGAAACCCGCAATGTATATAACTAACCACATATGATGAATATGAAAAGCTAACTGGTGACACACTGTACGAGAACCCACGTCATCATGTTGTGTGCAGATCTGGGTAAGTAAAGGAATAGGTCACCCAAAGAAAGTTAATTTGCTAATCCTCATGTTTTTTTTAACTTGTTTGACTTTTGAGGGAATGCACAATTAGTTATTAGCAATAGAATGTCCAAGCTACTCTTTTTCGTACAATGAAAGTCAATGCATTGCTGACCACGGCTGTCAAGCAACAACTAATGAAAAACATTGTGGAAAAATTGCAGAAGACGACTTCAAAAGATTTAGAATAAAAGACATATGGACTACTTTTATGATGCTATTTTGTCAGGCATGGTCACCATCTACTGTCATTGTATAGAAAAGAGCACTTTGCTAAATTTGTCCTTTAGTGTTACACAAAAGTAAGTCATATAGATTATCACATGAGCGGAATTTACTTTGGGGTGAACTATACCTTTACAGGGCAACATTTTTTATAATTTATGCCATCATTTTATAATTCAATTATTTACTTAAAGTTCACCTGTAATGTTAGTAAAGTATTATTCCAAAACATATATATGTCATGCCAATTTTCATTGTTAACATGTTAACGGGACTTACAACACACCGTCGATGGCAGTATCAGTTAAACCATTTAACAACATGTTGGCTTGCAATTCATGAATTAGAGAGTTGTTCACCACTATTACAATATTTCTGACAGATTTTCTTTCATATTAATAATGTTAAACTTCTCTGACCCTCATACTACTGCCCTTATTCTGTGAAAACTCACTCCCTCTCATCATAATTCTCTCCTTCTCCCATTTTTTTTATTAGGAGTAAATGAATCTGTGAGGACCTCTACTGTTTCTAAAGGTAAATTCTTTGCTTGTAGTCATCCAGAGAGACAATATTCTCTAACTTCAATGATCTAAAATCAATCACATGAAATTGGGTATTATGTAGTGACTATAACCTGTTAAACAAATGAAAACTTTAGGGGATTAGACGTGAATTAGAACTCTGGACATTTTCTCAACCAACTTCATGAGGTGCATTAGAAACAGTATTTAAAGGAGTTTGTTTTCTTCGCTATCACTTTTTTCTATAGGTATATGTGACATCTTTCATTCAATTTTAAGGGGCTGTCAAGCTCCCAAAAGGCAGAAAACCTCTATTTTTTAGAGCTATGGTGGAGGAAATATTTTCAGTGAACAACATCTTTCTATTTGTTCCTCACACAAAGCTGCTCAATGGATACTGAAGACTTGGAATGTAGCATAGAAATCATTTGGGCTTTTTTATGGTGTATTAATCCTTTTGGAGCTCTATAGCTTGGTCACTGTTTATGATTTTTCCATATAGTGAAAACATACTTTCTTCATAGTTTTCCATGATAGAAAGTCATTTGGGTTTGGAACAACATGTGTGAATAATTTATGATTTTTTTTTTTAAACAAACAAACCCATCAAATCTCTTTCATTTAGGAGACGATTTAGGAGCCTTTTCTAGTGGTTATAAATGTGAGTGCCATTTATTGTTGTTAATTTCTTAAAAAAAAAAATTATATATATATATATATATATGTATGTATAATTATTATAGTATTATAATTATTATATGTCTAGATGTCTAGTATATATGCTCTTTTTTTATTTTTAAAGTCATTGTTCAATCTACATTTTTTAATAAATCCTGCCCTTTACAATTCTTGTCTGTTGTTGATGTGCTTGAGCAGAACGCCACACCAGTATATTTCTCCGCTCTGTGCTCATTATTGTATTTTGAAAGTTTCTTTCTTTCTTTGTATTTTAATCAACATTTAGCAACAGTAGGTGGAGTTACAGGCATAATTCTCCTTTGCCTGATGGCAGCAGTATTGCTTTTATGGTGGAGGTTTGTCTTATAAAATCTATTATGGTTTGAAGCTTCAACTTACAGGCTTTTTGCAGCTTCTGCCTTAATTGTTTTCACCCTCCGACCCACAGGTCAAGAAATCGGCAAACAAACAGGAACAAACCGGATCCAAACAGGAACCAACTAATTCTTACCAACTCAGTTGCCTGCACTTCCTACACATCTGTACCACAAAGTTCAGCAGCTGACAAGTTCACAGAAGACTCTGAAAGTGACAAAAATCAACCACAAATGGGCATCGCTCATGGTGCAGACACGTGATAAGACTCCCAATAAGTCTTGCTCAGACTGTCAGTCCATATCCAATTTTTGCATAGCTTTTTTTCTTTTGCCATACTTTCTTATGCCACATAAAACGGAAACATATCAGACATTGTTTGAAGAAAACATGCTTAATGTCTTTGCAGAAATAAAGCTATGTTGTTTTAAGGTGCAAGTCGAGCAGAAAATTACAATATACTGCTGGTCTACACAGAGACCGGCAGAGACGGTAACATGGAATAAAGCTGTGTATTCCAGCTTCCTACGTTTCTGTAATAATCATAACATAAAATGTAATAATCCAGTGCAATGGCAACAGGTTGCCATGTTGAAAGACATCATCTGTATTGCAAACCCTGTTGCTTGGGGTAGGCATACCAACATTGGCACAGAAACCAATGCAGAGCATCACGGGGCACATAAATAGGATCTGAACAGGTGAGATACAGTGTGGACAATCATTTAGATCAGATTCCAATCGGATACTCAAATAATCGAATTTGGACTGACAGTGTGAACGTAGTTTTAAATACTTTTCATTCCATGAAATATACCAGCCTAAATGCACATATCTGATCAACATCCATCTAATGTACCTCATCTCGCCCTCTACTTTTTTAATGTTAACATAAAATGAATAAAGTTTTATATTGTTTTTAATCCATGGTCTTTGTATGTATATTGATCAATGAGAAAACACACAAGCAACTTTTAGATCAGGGTTTCACAGTTTTTAGAATTGCGTGGAAAAACAGTATGTCCAGCTATTGACAGGCTCTAAAAGCTGCCAGGGCCGAGCATATCCACAAACTCATAGAAAATAACCAAAACAATCCAAGGTTTTTATTTAGCACAGTAGCTAGATTAACAAATAACCAGACGCCATCCGATCTAAATATTCCCTCACAGTAATGACTTTATGAATTTATTCTCTGATAAAATAGATAATATCAGAAATACAATAACAAATGTAGATTCTACAGCGTATAATACTTCAGCTTCATTCATCGCACCAAAAGATAAACTGCAGTGCTTTACAACTATAGGACAGGAAGAGCTAAATAAACTTATCACTGCATCTAAACCAACAACATGCCTGTTAGATCCTGTACCCACTAAATTACTGAAAGAGTTGTTACCTGTAGCAGAAGAACCGCTTCTCAATATTATTAACTCGTAGTTGTCTTTAGGTCACGTCCCAAAAACATTCAAGTTGGCGGTCATTAAGCCTCTTATTAAGAAACCACAACTAGATCCTAGTGAACTGGCTAATTACAGACCCATCTCAAATCTTCCTTTTATGTCTAAAATTTTAGAAAAAGTTGTGTCTGCTCAATTGTGCTCCTGCCTGCAAAAAAATGATCTCTATGAAGAATTGGGTTAAACAAATCAATTTTGCTTGGTTGGAACAGCAGCTACGCTAATTATGTCTCTATTTGTTTCTCTGTTTTTGCCACGTAACTAGGATTTACGCAAGCTTCAGTCTGGATTCAGAACACCTGAGAAGAGATAATGCCAACCCCTCAGAGGACCTCAGATGATGCCAACCCTGAAACAACATACAGAACTACCACATTTTGCTATAAGTTTGATTGCATCATATAATAATTGCTGTTAATAGTGTTCATCGTCTGTTTGATTACATCTTTAATTGAATTTTCCGTACATTTCTGCCATATGTACATTAACTGACAGTCACCATTGATAAGCTACCACTAAATATTGTAGAAACATAATTTGCTGTAAAGTTGCTTTGCAATGATTTGTATCATGAAAAGCGCTGTACAAATAAACCTGAATTGAATTGAAAACTTGAATTACTCACCCTCAAGGCATCCTAGGTGTATATGACTTTCTTCTTTCAGATGAATCCAATCGGAGTTATATAAAAATTGTCTGTTTAATGGCAGTCAGCGGGTGTTACAGTTCATGGGTCGCGGAAGCAGGGGGGCCGCCCAGGCCAAATGATTGGTTATCATCCAGCAGTGTATTTGATTTCTTAGGCAATTAAAAGACAAAAAATAAAGCCTGTCAATTAGACAAAAGTAAAAAGTTGTTCGTTTTTTTTTTTTTTTACATTTCTGTCCCCCTCATTTTTACAATGATGGCTCCACCCCTATGTGTGCAAGTACAGAAAACAGTGCACGAGTCTTCTTGTGCTTGAATGGTTTAATGACATATTAAAATGTGCACAAAGGAATTGATAAGAGGAATCAAAATTTTAATTTAATTTAATAGATTTTGGATTCCCAAGCCAAGGTATGGGTTAACATGTTAAATAAAATGCTCTTTTTTTGTCCTAACGAAAATGTGCCTGGAGTCCACCTTTGTTATTATAACAAACTACACTTTCAATGTGATTTTAAACCATTCAAGTCAAGTAGACTCGCGGGCTGTTTTCTCTGCTGCACACACATCCTTGTGTAAGTGTTCTTTAGTATGTTGATTTTCATTCATATTATTCAGCTAACTAGGACATATTTTGTAATAAGATGATATCTAAGATTTTTTATTATTTATTTATTTATTATAGTGGAGTGCCTCCACTCAAGCGGTCTCTCTCTCTCTTACTGTGCAAATGATCTTTTGACAGTCTCACCAAACTTTAACTTAGTCTATAATATCAAATTCATTACAACATAGAACCCTTCATCATTCAAAGAGGTTAAAAATGTCAAAGTTTATATATCTCAAATCTCAATTTAGACTATTTAAAATACATTATGCTAGGAGAATTTCTTGTCGCCCAATACACTTTTTAGTGTGGGTGGAGATGAAGAAGAAGGAGCATTTCTTAAAATCATTTTTACCTCAAATGCTTAGTTCCCTTAACCTTTGTTATCCAAGCCATCTCTTGATTCAGCAAAAGCTGTCTTCATTTTTAGCCACCACCATGTCTTGTAATTATCCTATGCCATGCCCAAGGACCTGCATCAGTAAAAACTATGATATAGACATATTAGTTCAATATCATCTCAGCCTCATACATTCAGGGATTCATCATAACTCTGCATAGGAGACTTTTCATACAGTTCTTGCCAGTAAAGCAGACACTTCATGATCCTGAAATAAATTAAGAAATTTTGTCTCAAAATAATGGCTGGTCTCAGATGGTTCTTGAAAGCCCATTGCCATTAACTCTTCATAAATAAGCTCCTTTTCCTCAGGGTGTGATTCCCTGGCATATATAGTTGCATCAAGTTGTGGACGCTTCGTCACAGTGAAAAACAAGCCATCAAGGAATGCGGTTGCTGGTGATCAGGTCTGGAGGAGCTCACATTTTTTAGGCAGATAGCTGTACTTCCTACAGTTCCCCCCTTAATGATGCTCTAGGCCAATCAAGCATCCGCTCAACTCTGCTTCCATCTCACATATAACACCTCCCTTCTGGGCAGGTGCCCAGTGGCGGTGACCCCCTGCCTTAGGTTGTCATTGAGAAATCACCTCATGCACACCGGTAACCGCTCTTTCCCACTGCAACATCCTTGACAGTTTTCTTCCAGAATCTGGTATTTTCCACAGCTTAGGAAAGGTGCACTCAAGAACCATGAGATCCATCGACACCACCTACTAGTGTTAAAACATTGAGACAGGTTAATCACACTATTTAATCACTAAAATCAATTGGATATCTTCAAACCATCATGCTGTGGTTACTCAGTGAATTTAGATATCTCACCCATCCATTCAGTGTAATGTTCTGCTACTTCTGTAGCCGGAGCCATCAGGCCCTGTATGATGGTGGAGACTAAAAATAAGACATAAGTTATTGCTCATAGAACAAGCAGCAATACAACCGTTTAACTATTCAAAATCATTACCTCTATAG